GGCTGATTGTATCTTCAGTGTGTTTAAAATGTTAGTCTACTCCCTGAACTTCCTGTAAATTAGTACTTAGATGTAGAGTCTTAATTAGATTGTGTTATATATACACATATATATTTACAAAAATATTTGCAATATATTTGAGATATAGGCATATATATATATATATTTGCATATATATATATTTGCAAAAATACTTTATTGGTGGTGATATCAACTTCCTAAGGCATCCCAGCAGGAGCCACATTGTCTGCTTGTCCCACTTACAATTTTCCCTTTCAAGATACCTCTAGCTCCTGGTTTTTCTCTCCTTTGTCTTTGTCGTTTCTTCTCAGTTCCCATCACAGCCTCCACTTTACTTACGTTTTGACGTTGTTGTTCTTCAGGGCCTATTGTCACTGGTCCATTCCTCCCAGTCTATATATGGTGCCCTTTTCCACATTCTTAAGTCTTTTTAATGCAGACCCTCTCCACTGAGTTCTAAACCCAAATATCCTGTGACTGGCAGGATGTCACTGGATGTCCTGTGAGCCCTTCAAACTCACTATGTTCCAAATAGAATTAATTATCTTTGTTCCCAAACCGGTTTCTCATTGTTTTCTTTACTTCAATAACTAGAACCACCATCCAAGACAGAAACCTGAGCCATCCTAGACTTTTTCTCGCCTGCCCCAAATCACCAACCCATGGAACGTCTATTTCAGTGATGGCGAACCTTTTGCGCTCGGCGTGTCAGCATTTTGAAAAACCCTAACTTAACTCTGGTGCCGTGTCATATATAGAAATTTTTTGATCTTTGCAAACCATAGTAAAACAAAGATTTATATTTTTGATATTTATTTTATATATTTAAATGCCATTTAACAAAGAAAAATCAACCAAAAATGAGTTCACGTGTCACCTCTGACACGCGTGTCATAGGTTCGCCATCACTGTCTATTTCCTCAATATCACAAGTGTATCCCCTCTTCTTCTTGCTGCTGATAGCGTCAGTTCTAAAATTCAGACAAAAAGTGCACATGCATTATCCAGAGTCACACATTCCCAAGCAGAGCTAGGGCTACAACAGTGATGGCGAACCTTTTGAGCTCAGCGTGTCAGCATTTTGAAAAACCCTAACTTAACTCTGGTGCCATGTCACATATAGATTTTTTTTTTGATATTTGCAACCATAGTAAAACAAAGATTTATATTTTTGATATTTATTTTATATATTTAAATGCCATTTAACAGAAAAATCAACCAAAAAAATGAGTTCGCGTGTCACCTCTGACACGCGTGTCATAGGTTCGCCATCACTGGGCAAGAACCTAACCTGGTGCTTCAGCACAGAATGTACTGGAATCCTGCTGAGGGCTGTAAGTGGCTCCAGATTCTTTGTGATGCTTTGGATATAGTGTGTCTTACATATATGGACGTATGGCTGTAGAGACCGCGTTCAGCAGGGCGAAGCAGCTAAAAGTGGGGAGCTTAGGAGTCAGAATATCTGGGTTTGACAGCCACTTGCACCACTGAAAGTGAACCCGATTCAGCTGGTTAATATCTCTGTGCTTCAGGGTCCTAATCTACAAATGGGAATATTCCTTCACCCCTTTTCTGAAACCCCCAAAGCTCTGGAAACTAGAAGTTGTTCTTTGGTTATTGTTTTTTGTTTTTTTTAATAATTTGTTTGGCAGCCAAATCTGACTTAACTGTAAGGATCTGATGACAATGCCTGACCTGAATAAAACTGAAAGCACAACAAAATCTGAATTCTGAAACATGCCTGACCTAGAGGTTTTGGAAAACAGGTTGTATACCTGTAATAGGTCATCATAGGTTGATTACTAAAGAAATTAGTATTTGAAAAGTAATTAGAAGAGTATGTGCTCATAGTAAGCCCTATATAAGTGTTTGATAAAGCGAAATACAACATTTTGTGTCAGAATAGCTTGATGAATTTGGAGGCCTCTATCAAAACTGAGTTCCTACCATAGCTTTTCTGTTATATAAAAATTAAACATCAGAGGCAGAAAATCCCCTTTTTTTGAATGGCACTCCAATTCCTTCCCTGCTCAGAACTATCCACTATTCTGAAGCTGGTGTATATGAATACTTTGCATGCAAGTTTCTTGATATTAGTACATATATGTGTCCACAGTATGTATTTTTTTAAAAAATCCTCACCAGAGGACATTTTTTACATTGATTTTCAAAGAGAGTGGAAGGGAGGGTGAAAGGGGGACAGATGGAGAGAAACATCAATGTGAGAGAGACACATCGATTGGTTGCCTTCCACTCGTGGGCGGGTCAAACCTGCAACTCAGGTACTTGACCTAGACCGGAATCAAACCGGTAACCCTTCCGTGTGAGAGCTGATGCTCTAACCACTGAGAACACTGGCCAGGGCCATAGTATTTATTTTTTAAAAAACAACAAACAATAATCGGTCCCAAATGTCAATAGTGCTGAGGTTGAGAAGCCCTGCCCTCATCCCTTTCTTTCCTATGCTCTTGCAGCTCCTGCACGCATGCGTACAGCAGTGCACACATTGCAACTGTTATCACTGCACACCTGTCTGCTTCTCCTCCTAAAATGCAAGTTCCCTGAGGAAAGAGGCTATGGTTTGACTACCTGGAATGGAAAGGACTAAAAATATTTGCTGAATAAATGAATGAACACGTCACAGGTCTCTTCTATCACAATTTATCCAGGAGGCATATGGGAAGATGGACCAGTGGGAATGAGATGTAAGAAGCCAATGCATCCATCTGAAGAGCTGACAGGGAAACATTTCTCCATATTAGGAAGAAATTTCACACCCAGGATTTCCACTGGCTCTCTTTGGCATTTTTTTTGTTGTTGTTGTTAATCCTAACCTGAGGATATTTTTTCCATTGATCAGGGAGGGAAGGAGGAAGGGGTGAGGAAGGGAAGGAGGGAGGGAGGGAAAGAGAGAGAGAGGGAGAGAGAGAGAGATCAACGTGAGAGAGACACATGGATCGGTTGCTTCCCACACATGCCGGGACCAGGCTGGGGATTGAACCTGCAACCCAGGTACCTGCCGTTGACCAGGAATTGAGCCAGAGACCCTTCAGTGAGTAGGCTGATGCTCTAACCACTTAACATACCAGCCAGGGCTCTTTGGCAATTTTTAAAGACAGAGAATAAATAAGTGTCAACATGTATTGAGTATTTACCGTGCAGCCAGCACTATGTTTTCCAAATACTAACTCAATGTGGTCCTCACAAGGACTCCGTGTGGGGGAGTTAACACCCACTTGAAGAGCTAGGAACACGAAGCACTGAGAGGCGAAAGTAACTGGGTCTGCAGTCACAAAGCCAGCAGGGGTGGCACTGGGATGGTGCTTTCTTTGGGGAAAGGAAGGAGAGTCCTTTGTAAAGAGAAACATTTCACTTTCAAATAGCTAAGAGCCTGCTGCCAATAGAATTAGTCTGTATTGGTGCCCGAGTTACATCCATTTTCTATTTAGGCTTACGAGTTTAAAATATAAAAAAGAGAACTACTGAAGACTTGGAATTTTAGTCACACGTCACCTCAGGGGAAATTAATTCTGATTTTTGTCTACAATACCCAGGCTCAAATTGCAACTCCAGTAATAAAATGAGAGCTGGGAAAAACAAGCACCTGGGGCTGATGAAAGTAATGCATTTGTCACAGGGCAGGGGCTGAGACGTGGAGCGAGTGTTCTTAGGGAAAAACATGTCAATACTAAATCTTCTCACCAACCTCTGATGGATGTGCTAATCTTCTCGGGTCAACAAGGCTCACCCTGGCAACGCGCTGTAATAACTTATTTAAAAGGCAGCTGGCTCTTTTAAATGGCCTGTTTCATCCATTTTTAGGTTTTCAGTCTGAGAAATGTATTCTCTTATCAAAACGATGTTTGCCATACAAAGTAAGAGTTCAATTATACCTCTTCCACACCAGAGGAGGCTGCAGAGGGGAGCAGCTTTGGGCATTACAGTTCTTTGCTCTCAGTTCTGACATTCAGACTCTGCAGAGGTAAAGAGATAACAAAAAGAATGTCAGACAGGTAGTTTCCTCTATTATTAGAGTGGCGGTCCACAAACTACTGCCCATCGGCCAAATCTGGCCCACGCCCGTTTTTATAAATAAAGTTTTATTGGAACACAGTCACACTCACTTGTGTACTTATTGTCTATGGCTGCTTTCAGGTGGCAAGGGCACAACTGAGAAGTCAGGACACAGACCTGCAGCCTGAAAGCCAAAAGTATGAATTCTCTGGCCCTTGGCAGCACATGAGTGCTGACCTCGCAGGCAGAGAAGTCGCTGTCTGGCCGCATGCTTGGCCCAATCTTGGTGGGGGCGGAGGAGTTCCAGTAGGAGACCACTTCTGCCACATTTAAAGCATCTGCCTAGTTCAGCTGGGTTCAAGATAGAAGCAAGCAGAAAAAGACAACAACCTAGGCCAGTGGTTGGCAAACCGCGGCTGGTGAGCCACATGCGGCTCTTTGGCCCTTCGAGTGTGGCTCTTCCACAAAATACCACGTGCGGGTGCGCACGTACAGTGCAATGGAAACTTCGTGGCCCGTGCGCAGAAGTCCGTTTTTGGCCTGGGCGAGTCTATTTTGAAGAAGTGGCGTTAGAAGAAGTGGGGGTACTTCGCTGAGGTCGACCCCTCAGATAGAGGATGTTTTTAGCAAAGGCCAGCTTAGGAGCACCCTAATTGAGTTAATAGCAATGTACCTACCTATATAGTTTAAGTTTAAAAAATTTGGCTCTCAAAAGAAATTTCAATCGTTGTACTGTTGATATTTGGCTCCGTTGACTAATGAGTTTGCCGACCACTGATCTAGGGAGTATCCCTAAGTCAGAATTTCAATGAACTCAACAGTGTAACGCATATGAAATGATCATTTTATGTCAAAAGAAAAATCTCGCAAGCAGGCCACAGTACATGCCCTGCTGCTTAAAAAAGGCTGATATGTTACACGAAATTCATGCAAGGGGCTCAGCCCTCGCAGCCCCTCCCCCACCCTCATTCCCTCCTCTCCCCCCTCCCACCCCACACATGACAGGCCCACTGGCACTTTGGTGAACATGCTGATTTCTCAGGACAAAGTCCCCTTTCCTTGAGAAAACGCACAGAAGCAGATGAAGGAGCAAATCCCAGAGGAAGGGGGTGATGGCTGGGGGCTGGGGGCCCAGGACTCAGAACTTCAGCGGGATGACCGGCCAGTACTTGGGCCGCTTTCGGTCAAAGTGCTTGTTAAAGCTCAGCTGCACGGCGGCCTCCATGGCCTGGATCTTGGCGGCGCTGTCCCCGTACAAGCGCTTCATCTCGGCCTGGCGCCGCTCGCTGGGGCTCTCGGAGGGCGGCTCCATGGAGCGGCTTGTCTTGTAATACAGGTCGTGGTCGGCGTTCACATAGTCCTCCAGGCGCTGCGCGTCCAGCTGCTGCTGCCGCCCTGAGAACAAGCCAACACAGTCAACTGGGGTGAATTCAAGGTTGCTAGACATGCGGGGGGGGCAGTACCCCAAGTCCCTTAGCTTTCCCTTTCACACTGTGAAGCCACGCCCAGCTGTGCTGGCTGCGATGTTCTCTCGATTCTAAGGCACTGCTTAGTTTGGAAGCTCCTTGCTCACTTATCAGGGGGCTATACGCTGGGAGAAATAGCAACAAGCCACAAGGAAACGTGCTACCCCAAACTACCCAACATCTGGAAGCAGCCCTGAAAATAGAGGAGAAATTGACAGCAACTGGCCTCCTCTCCTCACCCAGCAGCCAGCTCACATCCTGCCCAACCAGGAAGGGCAGGTGGGGCTCACTGGGTTTTAAACACCGACCCAGGCCCGCAGGGAAAGACCGGGCTGCCTGGAAAGGCCAGCGTTGCAAGAAGTACTCCCCAGCACAGAAGAAGTGGTGGCAGAAAAACTGAATTTAGGTAATCCAGAAAGAGCAATGGCCACCATGACCTGATCCTTTCAAGCATCTAAAACACACACTGTACCAGGCAACAGGAGGTCAAGTGATTGAACACTTGCCGAAGGTACGAGAGCCGAACAAGGGCAATTCAGCAAATGGATGGGAAACCTCTGTGGTCTAATCTTCCTGCTACATTAACCAAGCTAAAGAGGTAAGGAGGTAAAGAGATAACTTCAGTGCGCAGGCACTGAACAACACCGGCCATGGAGCCGGGTGTCTATGTCCTCGCTATGGGATCTGACTTTTCACTTCTCAGGTTGGCTTAGGCTCCATTTCAAGTGTCTTCGTTATATGCTTTCAATCCTATTAATTTAAATGGATTCTTGCCCCGGCTGGGTGACTCAGCTGGTTGGAGCATCATCCCGTACACCAAAATGGTTGCAGGTTCAATCCCCAGTTGGGATACATACCCAGGTTGTGGGTTCGATCCCCGGTCCGGGCGTGTATGGGAGGCAACCGATTGATGTTTCTCCCTCACACTGATGTCTGTCTGCCTCTCTGTCTCTCTCTCCCAGTTCCTCTAAAATCAATAAACACATCCTCGGGTGAAGATTTAAAGTAAATAAATAAATGGATGAATGAATAAATGGATTCTTATAAAGCAAGAAATATTTATTCAATTTATTCTCCCCTTCTCTATTTTCTATCATAAAAAGCACTAATATAACTTTTATTCTTATGTAAATAAGAACATAAAATATCAGCAAAACAATGCTGCGGAAGGTAAAATTTAGCCTATTACATAGATTTTTGTAAGCGACTGTCAAGAACAGAAATTGATAGCCGAATGCATCCATCTGTAGCTACTGTTGCTACCAAGAGAAATGCTACCAAGTAAGGAGTGAAGATGGTTGTAGGGGATAAAACAACACTATAAATCATTCTTTCCTGGTTAAAAGCAGCAGAAAGAAAGGTTAGTATGGAAGAAACCACAAAAGTGAAGGAACCAAGTGTGCACAGAAAGATATTTATGTGGCTATGCACAATCCCTCTCATAAATCCTGTTCTTCATAAATGACACCTTGGACTAGGCGGGAAGGAGTTTTATAAACTTGGAAACATTAAAAATGTGGCCATTTCTGTCTTAGCACATCTGCAGTTCATTTTCACACAAGGAAGCAATGCCCTGATATGCCAAATGACTGTCAAAATGAAGACCATATCCCTGTTACCTTATCCAGGGAAAGGATAGAATTGACTTACTGGGAAACGCAGACCTAAACCCAAATATTGACCTAATATGGAAATGAACGGGAGGTCAACAAGCATTTGTTTCTCATTCTCAGTCTTTCTGACAAGATTGAAACATCAGGATTTAAGTTGTTCAGTCCTCATGGGTGTTTAAATTCTATTCCCTACCCCGCCCCTCAAGGACCACTCTTCTGAAGGCCTGGTATTTCCCCATTAGCCAGGGAAGAGAGGCCCACCTAGGACAGCCTTGGCCCCATTTCCCATCCTTGGGCTCTCCTTTTGTTGTTGGCCTGCAGGACACAATCCCATGTGTAGGTCTGCTGGGGCCTCCGAGCCTCTGCATCTACAGGGCAGAGGTTCCCAGGCCACAGTCCTTTCACTCTCAAGTTTGTCCCAAGACTATCATCAGCCTTCTCGACAGATTAAGTGACACAACAGATGTTCCACTTCCTGTCTAAATCCGAGTCTCTTGAGTTTAGAAGTTTGAGTAAACACTGGAATCTTCGCTGTCTTAGTAAGTGTTGCTCTCTGCCGTTAGGATATGTGAATTTAACCTTTTTACTTTTGCATCTATAGTTTTCTTTTCCTTATAATTTAGCATGGTTATAATTATGCTTCTTTCTGCTACTCTTCTGACAAAAACTCTTACCAATATTAAACTGGTGTCATAATTCTGTTGAAACATTTTCTTTTTAAAAAATAAATATATTTTTATTGATTTCAGAGAGGAAGGAAGAGGGAGAGATAGAAACATCCATGATGAGAGAGAATCATGGATCGGCTGCCTCCTGCACGGCCCCTACTAGGGATTGAGCCCGCAACCTGGGCATGTATTCTTGACTGGAATTGAACCTGGGACTCTTCAGTCTGCAGGCTGACACGCCAAAGTGGCTTGGGCTCGAGAGACATTTTCTTAACTGTTGATGAAATACTGTTAACACAAAGCAACCTTAGCTGGCAATCTATGAAGCCTGTGCAACTTTCCAAGTTTGAACTCGGCTCATGGGTTGCCACCATGGGGTTTTAGTTCTTAACAAAGTTAGTTCATACATTGCAAGAATAAAAGACAGTCCTCTGCTCTGTTCTCTACTTGTATCTCTTTCCCACCCAGCCTTCCTCATGAAAACTTAAGGCCCAACTCTGTCCCCTCCCTGCCCACAAGAAGTCTGGAAGTTTCCGGGTTTCCTGCATGGATTTAAGGGGCAGGAAGGGGGAGGGTCCCTGTTGCCTTTTTTCACCCTTACTCCCAGTCCCCGGAGGACACAATGCCTGACACAAAGCCGGTGCTCAGGAAATGATCGTAGAGAAAGTGTGGACAAAGGCCATACATTATCTTTTTGTAAACAACTGTTTCTTCCAGATGCTGTTGAAGAAAAATGATGACAACCCAGAGAGAGAGAGAAACAGATGCTGAAATCACAGAAGGTGCTGGGTGGAGCTCCCCTACAGTAGGTTCCTCAGAGCCTCCACCGGGAGAGGATGGGGGCAGAGCCAGGGTTGGGGTCTGATCTTGTTTCCTTACATTTGAGTCACTTCACCTCCACTTACTCACACAATGAAAAAATATGTTCCAAGGCTGGACTACAGATTTGAAAACCAGCCAGCTTAAACCAAATACCCTCAGACTGGCTGAAAGTGCTTTCCTGTATACTGACCTAGGGGACCAAGCAAGCCTTATTCTTATTCCGTTTTCTATTTGTTGCTTCCTTCCTCCCACTGAGAAGGATTCTCAGTCACTGGCAGTTTTTCTTCCTGTCAAAACAAGGTGAGGGCTCATTCAACCAGATGGAGAATCAGATGACTGAAGCAGAGAAGGGGAACGTCACACCTCAGACATAACTGAACAGGTGCCTTGTTGCGGAGAGGTGGGTCATTTTTACTGACAACAGCTGTGGGACTTGATGATACAAGAGGTTTTTTTCTTGTAGGATATTTGGACATGGGAATTTGTTTTGATACAAATCATACTCTTTTTATATTCCAGTTTTAAAACAGGGTTGTAGTGGGTTGACTAACGTCCTTCCAAAATTCACATCTCCTTGGAACCTCCAAGGAAGTTCATGTGAATATGATCTTATTTGGAAACCAGAGGCCCAGTGCACGAAATTCGTGCATGGGTAGGGTCCCTAGGCCTGGCTGGCGATCAGGGCCAATCGGGGCCTTCCGGCTGCCAGCTGGGGCCTCCGTTCCCTGGCTGCCAGCTGCCAGCAGGGGCTTTCCTTTGCTCTGTGCCACCCCCTGATGGTCAGTGCACATCATAGCGAGCGATTGAACTCCCAGTCGAACTCCCGAGGGGACACTTTGCACATTAGGCTTTTATATATATAGAATAGCATCTTTGCAGATGTGTTTAAGGGAAGGGTGGCGATGAGATCATACTGGATTAGGGTGAACCCTATCCAATGAGGGTGAAATAGAGAAGGACACATAGAGACACAGGGATAAAACCATGTACACCTGGAGGCACAGGTTGGAACTATGCTGCCACAAGCCACCAAACGCCAGGAGCCAGAAGAAGCTGGAAGAAACAAAGCCCAGGAGACTTTGGAGGGAGTGTGGTCCTGCCAACACCCTGATCTTGCACTTCTGGGCTCTAGAACTGTGGGAATAAACTTCTGTTGTTCTAAGCCATCCAGTTGGTGGTAATCTGTTAGCAGTCCAGGGAAACTGATGCAGGGGTAATACATACATAGGGTTAAAACAAGAAAAACAGTCAGTATTATACTATTAAGGAGAAACTGTACTGGATTCATCTGGATTTAGGATATAGAACCTTGATTTTTTTTTTTGCTTGAGTCCAAAGATTTACATGATATTGCCAATAGAGACTTATGTCCATAAAGGAAAAAAAAATAATGGGAAATGACTTGGACCCTAGAGAAGCCCATGGAACAGGGAAACATGCATTCATTATTCCACAAATAATTAGCCCATAGGCAGAATATTTTGGAGGACAAAGCACTAAGACAAATGAGTGCTGAAGAATGTTACTTTCCCTCATTTTTTCAGCATTAGCATGTCTTTCTGATTATATTCTCTGCTACGTTGCTAGAATTAATGATCTTATAGCACAACCGAGTGAAAGCACAGACTTGTTTTATATCATGAATGCCTCATTTCTGACTTGTCAGCAACACACCAGAACACAGGTGCAGATCTGGAGCCATTTCTGATGGGTCTGCCATCCTCACCCCACATCCCTCACTCCATGACAAATACAAGCCAGTGGACAACCACCATTTCTGTTTTTAGAATAAAAGTGCATTTCCATCCTTCCCTTCCACTTTTCTA